TACCCCCATGGGAGACAGGCGTGAAGTTATGTATGTATGTATGTATTTGTAGCCAATTTACAGAAATGAATATCATTTTATAGTACTCAAACTATCCCATGAGAGATCTAACTAATTTTATCTCTCCTGTCTCAGGAACTACTGGTCCAATTTGAATAAATATTTTTGTGTGAAGCCCATTTATTGAGGAAGGCTATAGGCTACAAAGTAAATTGCGATCAATAGGCGTCGAACTAAGCGGGTCAGCGGGTGAAACCGCGCGAAAGTATAGTAGTGGTAGTATACTTACTCTACACAGTTCTATATAAAGAGTATGCTACCAAAACTACTATAAACACTACCAAAGACAGTTATTTAAAGTGCCTTTTGGAATAGCGGTGTATAGAAATAGGTAGTTGTTTACGGATTTAAGTAACTACACGGTACCTACGCAATACGCATCGAGTCGACAAGAAAATGTGTGCTCATTACTGAAAATGACACTAACCATACAGTTATTACAAAAATACGCAAATATATTATTGAATAACTTACCAAAAATATGATATTGAACAGTATCAGCAAACATTTCATTAGTGAATAGCATCGAGACATTCCCATTGTTTTGGCTAAGTAGATTTCAGTTTCTGTAACTGGGTTTGACGATTGTCACTGAACGATGATTTTGAATTACTTTATTTTACAATGTATAAATTATTTTGTTGTAACATTTTTGGCTAACATAATCTAGTTTTACTCGTGTTCGTCGTTATTATTATGGCAGAGATATATTATTAAATATTTGTAATGACACAGTGTTATAGTATACTTATGATTGATTATAGAATGACGTATCACAGATTCACAGATATACAGATAGGTTTAAATTATGTACAGAAAGTAAAGACAAAAGAGGCCTCTACTATTCCATAGACTGTAACGCTATTTTAAAGTTTGTCTATTTACGAGGGCGCCACAGGTCATAAATAATAACCAAATAAAATCAAAAACAAACCTATAAATAAATGTGCAACGGATTGCTTATCCGTATTTTAGACATAAAATTAGACATAAATCCTTTATTTTGTAGATTTTTCATTTTTGACAGATAAAATATAAACAATACATGATTTCCCATATTTTAAATATATTAATTATGCATCCGGGAATTGCTAACTATTCGGATAGAAGTTGTGGGATTTTAAAGTAAACTTATTGTAAGTTGAACTTCATTATTTTACTATCTTGGTCCTGACTGCCCGGGGCGAGAGATACCCGCCACGAGTTCTTGAGGCACGACGCTTAGAACTACGTCGTGAAACAATGGCGGAGTGGAAGATGCGACTTGTGCAACATAGCGCAGGGCATGCCGTAGTAGCGGCAGTAAGTCCAATTATGGAGGCGTGGATCGGCAGAGGGCATGGTGCCCTAAGCTTCCGGTTGACACAGGTCCTTTCCGGACACGGCTGCTTCGGAAAGTACTTGTGTCGTATAGGCCGGGAGCAGACGTCGGCGTGTCATCAGTGTAATGACAATTTGGAGGATACGGCGCGGCATACGCTCGAAGAGTGCTCTACATGGGCAGAGCTGCGTCGTGAACTCATTACAGTGCTCGGAGGGAATGATCTCTCATTGCCGACCGTAGTGCGAGCTATGGTTGACAGTGAGAGTGCATGGGATGGAGTCGCTTCCTTCTGTGAACGTGTCATGTTGGCAAAGGAGGCGGCTGAAAGGGAGAGGGAGGCGTCCAGCTCTCTCCCTTCTCGCCGTAGACGCGCCGGCCGTCAACGCCGCGAGGTGGTAGCTGATCTGCGACCTCCATAGGAGAGACCTTCGGGCGACTGATTAGGGGAGTCAGTCGTCGGTCGTCTGCTGTATGGGCGGGAGTAGGCGTTAGCGGTGTGTTCACGCGCGCCACTCGAGGAAGAAAATCGCAGCTTTTTAGGGCTGCTACGTGGTGGGACCTGCCACAATGTAGTGGTAGGTCGAGGCCTGCCGGGTGCGGTGAATCCGCAAGGGCGTCCCGGGTCACGGCCACAGGCAGAGGAGGAACACCGCGGTGGTTTTAGCCGGTAAGAGTCCGGCACACCCCCTCGTCGTCCCCACGGCGTGGGAAGTCCATGAGGATTTCCATCGCGTTATTAAAAAAAAAAAAAAAAAAAAAACTATCTTGGTCCATTGTTAGTTTAATATCGTTGGCATTATTCCAGGTATGCTGAAGTTGTATGAAAACGTAGGAAATGTAGATGTTTTTCGTAAATAGGACACAACTAAATGTCATAGTATTTTTTATGTTAAAGAAACATATTTTAAAGTCAAACTTAAAAAAAAAACCTAATGTTTTATGAATTTGGGATAACTGTGTCTAAAATCATATTATTATTGTGTATTTGATGACTACAACTAGTAAATAAACTAATATAGTAGGATATTAAAAAAAAAGTCAAACGCATTTCTTTTTTGGTTTTTCATTTTTAAAGTTACCGCGAGCTTCATTTTGACTTTAACTCTAAAAGTTAAATATTTTAATAACTGTTCAAATCCGCCTATCTCTTTGTTCGAAAATAAGTTGGAAATGATCTAACCCATACGACATAATATGATCTAATAACAAATCAATTTATAAATCTATGCAAATCAGCCTGTATGTAAGTAACGATAAATGATATTATGTCAATCATTTTAATTTAAATACAAAATTGAAAATACCTAATTGTAAATAAAATGTTGATTTAATTTACTGGAAAATAATATACATCTTAATTTTATTTTGATGTATTTAGTAAGCCATAGACAAATGAATGCGGTCGGTGCAGTTTCACAGCGTCGAACAGCAGCGAGCGCCGAGCATTAACTGACGGAACGCGGACGGAATGTCTCACTTTAAAACTTAGATAAATGGCCACCGTTGTTATTACGCTCTTCCTATTTGTACAATTTTATGTTTGTAAAATGGACGCCGTGTGCATTAAAAAGCCAAGGTAACTTGTGTTTGAACTTAAACTAAAAAGATTATAAATGTGTAAACCTTTCTAATAAGTTTTTAAAATTGAAAAGGTGTCATTGACAGAAAGTTTCGCGCCACTGTGGTAGAAGTACAACTCCGTGGTTGTATTCATTGTATGTTATATTGTGCACCGCGGCGGCGCGACGCTTCTCATTTCTAAGTATAGTTATCAATTAGAGAACGTCATGGATTTACAGGACTCCACTTTCGTCCCGAAGGGAAAAGCGGTGGAGCATGAATTCTCAACGTCTCGATGAAATAGTAGCGCAGCTGATGCAGCCTGTGTCAATGAAAAATCCGGACCAACTCTTCAACCAAAACATTACCGAGGTAAGTAGTCGAGGCTCCATCGGGTGCATAGCGTGGGCAAGGAATTAATATTTCCAATCAAGTTATTTCGTACTTGTGCTCTTATACTAAACAGTACCTGGCGTTATAAAATTCCAACGACGATTGCAATGATATGTAAAGCAAATGCATTGTGGCCTAATATTATAAATATTGATATGAGGCGAATCAATAGATAATAGCTCAGGCTATAATGGTCACTCGATTGGTTAGCTTTGTGAAGCTGGCTTGCTTGGTAGTAGTTAAATGTGTTGTTAACTAACAATTTCGTTTAGTCGACATTAAACTTGAGTGCCAATGTTTCTATTAAGATATTTTTGAGTGGTGTAATGTTGTATCCCTAAAATATACATACCCATGTACATAACTATAGGTACTATGTGACAACAAAAAATATTTTATTTTGTTTGTTTTGGAGTTAATGATATAATGATATGTAATTATGCATATGTATATTGTATATCTACATGAAACAATTTTATTGTGCAACATGCAAAGTCAAGTTTTGTTGTAATATAAATGAAATACATACAAGCAAAGTAATGGTTGGAATGTAGCAAAGGGTGTGCATGAAGTTTATAATGAGAATTCTTATAAATGGCTGCTTTTTCATTTCTATTGTTTAGTATAGCTAAAAATAAGGTGAAAATCATCTGGGCACTTTTATTTAGGGCTTCAGGTTTGCCTAAAATGTGCCGTAAAGGTCAGTTGGCAGAGTATGTATTGTAACGTTGGAGCTTTATTGCAGCATCAGGGTGTGAGATGGAAATGAGGTTCAACGCACGAAGACTATAGTGAAAAGCGTTTACTAACTGAACAGATGTCCTTAAAATTATGCAAACATGAGTTAACTTAAAATTAGTTAATAAGTAACCGGGTGCCTAGCAGAATAGCGGCTATGCGGTCTCGCGGCTAGTTGTCCACTGTCGTTGTCGGGGTTCGCTTTCACTCCGTTAAGGGTGTGTCCAAGTAAAGACAATAAAGGACAATTGCGCAACATCTAAGCTGCAGCTGAGCGCTGGTATCTCTCGCTGCCGTCAGGTATGCGCCCGAACCTAACTATCAACCCTCATGGTACACGATTTATTTCTTTTACTGCTATCAACAGATCGCTCACGTCTATATATTATATTTCAATACTTTAATACAAACAAGCAGAAAATGTAATAAATTTCTGTTATTGTATTATTAGTCTTGTGAGTAATCTGATTTATGTAATTGTTTATGTTTAAATTTTGAGATCAGTATGTTGACTACTGCAAATAAGTGTTGTGTATGCATGTGCACAGTTGCTGGAGGATTATATGACGGAGACCGGGCTAAAGGCTCTGGAGCGAGGCGAGGACGTCCGCTTCAACTTCCCCGAGATGGCCATATTGCTGCAACACACCGTCGACATGTACAGCCAGAAGGTCGACCGGCTCCACCAAAGCATACTCGACTACTGCGACAAGCTACTCGCCGCCAGGTGAGTACAACCTGTCCCGTCTGTCGTGTCGTTCGCAGCGAGTATGTTACGTTATGCGACACGTGTACGTGTGGTCCTCAGAGAGGACGCGGACGGACAGGCGGCGGAGGGCGCGGAGCTGGCGGGGCTCGCGGGGCTGGCGGGGCTGGCGCGGCGCGCGCGGCGGCGGGGCTCGTCCGACCTGGACTTCGCGCACATCGCGCTGTCGGCGCCGGCGGCGCGATAGCCGGCCGCGCCGCGCCCGCCGCCCACGCTGCCGCGCATGTACGTGGAGCTGGAACCGCGCGTCATCACCGCTTCCGACGCCCAGCTACTGGACTACGCCGGCGAGCCCATCGGCTTGCTCTCCGACTTTCAAGTCACCTGGCGCTTGCATGTCTGTATCTGCCCTCTTATAGATTCTCTGACCGTCGGAATTTCAAATACCTGTCCAAATCAAACACGAGAACAATATAAAAAAATAGTTTTTGTTAAATAAATAGCATATATAATTAAGAAACAAAAATACATGGATTTTCCTGATAGTTTATTTCTTTTGTGATCGTTGTATTGTTCAAATTAGCCCGCCTCGCACAATCTCAAAGGCAAAGGATAAAACAGACCTTCCTCATGCCGCCTATTAAATTCGATTTGAACATTTCGTAGGTATTTAAACAAGAAATTCTGTTGGAGCTGATGCTCTTGTCTTGATTACTGATAATCTTGATAAATAAAACTTGTTGAAATATAGAAATTTATTAAAACAATACTTGATATTAAAATGACTTGTGTGCACACTTGTACGGTCAATCGCGAACTGGTCTAATAAGTAAAGCGTTGAATGCGCAAAGAGTAAAATTGCAATTATACAAATTCATGTACTTTGTACAAATTCATATTCATTCATAACATTTCCTGGGTTCCATAGCACGATCTGTCAGTTAACCATTCGTAACACTCATTTTTACAGCGAGGACTGTTGGTGGACGAGCTCGAGGACGGGTCCAGCCAGGAGCGCACCCTGCGGCCCATCTCGCTGCTGGAGCTGCAGGAGGCCATCGCGGCGGCCGCGCCCCCGCCGCCCGCGCCCCGCACCAGCACGCCCGACCCCGCGCGGCCGCACCACGCCGCCGACTTGGACGCCACGCTAATGTCGCCCGACTTGGCCGACATCATTCGAGCCCCTGACTTGGCTGCCTCTATACGAACGCCAGAATTGGCCGCCATGGCCCACGCCCCTGAGGCGGCCGAGGCCGAGGAGGGCGCGCTGGGCGAGACGTGTCAAACCCCCGCACAGCCCGGTGCCGCCGCCGACCTCACCACGCCGAAACTGATTAAAAAAGAAAGAAAAAGAAAAATTGAAAGTAACTACGCAGCAGCTATAAGTAACGACGCAGCTGTAAAAATCTCCGTCGGTGAGGGTAAGTCATGATGTGTATGAGACACATTAGAAAATACATTTCGTCTCGCGTAAATCCGCGTTTAGACACACGACGGGTAACTGATTAATTTTAATGAGTATAGTGTATTATTGGCTATGTGCAAAGCGAGGGTGGCGCACAAATACCGACCGCAGCGCACAACACGGCAGAAATTGGAAACAAATGAGGATGATTAGCTGTCAAATGTGTTGATTGCAGTACAAAATCAAAGCATAGAAATGGACCATGGCTCGTATTAAGTAGCTCTGGTTGCAGTTCTTCCACATTTCTTACATGCTCGGCTAATACTAATTTATTGCCTTTTGTCTCAGTTTGTGATTAGAAACTAATATTATGTGTAATAGTTTCAAACCCGGTTTTTATTATTATATTAATTTTACAGTAAAACTATTGAATAAATTGCACTTCCATAATGTCAACAATACTATTTTAATTTTTGGTTTTATTTATATTTGCAAAGAAAATTATAATGTTTACATTGTTATTATTTGACAGCTTCCTCAAATGTTGTAAACACTACGCGTCGCCACCGTCGTGCACATAGCCAATAATAATACTTGCAATTTTTTGTGATAACACTCACCCTTATTGTTTATAGATTT